ATAATATGTTTAATATATAATGGAGGTTGGTTGTTAAGAGCTTTATATGTTAGGAGTAATATTTAGAATTCTATTCTGAATTTGACAGGGAGCCAGTGGAGAGAAGCTAAAACTGGAGAAATATGATCTCTCCTTCCAACTCTCATTAAAACACTAGCAGCAGCATTTTGGATTAACTGAGACTTCTTAAAGAGTTTTTTGGATGCCCGGATAATAAAGAATTACAGTAATCCATCGTAGACGTGTTATATTCACAAATCAGCTTTTCCGCATCAATTTTGGACAAAATGTATAACGCAAGTGGAAGAAGGCGGTCATGGTAACATTTTTAATGTGGGGGTTAAAAGACATGTCCTGATCAAAAATAACACCAAGGTTCTTTACATTAGAACTGGAGGCCAGATTAATGCCACCCAGAGGAGGTGAAAGGCTGCAAAGTTGATCCCTGAGATGTTCAAGTCCAAAAACCATAACCTCTGTATCTGAGTTTAGAAGCAGAAAATTAAGAGTCATCCAAGTTTTTATGTCAATAAGACATGCTTGTAGTTTAAGTAACTGATTAGATTYATCAGGTTTCATGGATAAATATAACTGTGTATCTTCAGCATAACAATGGAAATTTATCTCATGCTGTTTAATAACTTTACCTAATGGAAGCAGATACTGTATAAAGTAAAGAGGATTGGTCCGAGCACTGAACCCTGAGGAACTCCATGACTAACTCTGGTGTAAGAAGAAGATTCATTATTAACATTTACAAACTGGAATCTATTAATTAAATATGACTGTTTGATTCTGATTTAACAGAAGACCAGATAAATATGTGTTTTCGGCAAACCCTTCAGCTCAGGTTGTGCATTTAGCTCGACATGTGCCTCGTGCAGATGTCCGAAACCCCCGAGTCATGGTCTYCAGAAGCTGCTCCCTCTTTAAAATCTCATGTGGCCTTTTTTTTACCCTTAGGTGTTGACATCCTGCCTGGTTGTTCCTGACCTTTAGCGCTGCAGCACGTGCTACGTGTGTATTTCTCAGTTGTGCATTTGAGTGCGTGTCTGTGTTTGTGTCTGCGTATGAGATACAATGCTGGCATTTCTTTCATACCAGGGACTCCACGCTCACGTTCAGCAGATAAATAGCTTGAATAACCCCCCCCCCAGCCCCTCTGAAGCCACACTTTGAAGAAACACCTGTGCAGATACACACCTTAAATCCCCTGGAAGTCTCACCACACACACACACACACACACACACACACACACACACACACACACACACACACAC